CTTTGCCAAAATTTGGAAGCCTGCGCGGCAGCACTTCGGCTTCTTTGAAGATTGGCGAAATTTTGGCGATCCGCAAAAATTTGGCAAGTTTTTGAAAGTGGAGATCGCACTTATTTTACGCTACTTGTTGACAGATCTTGACAGATTTATTACTTATATAAACAAAATTGGCTCTGGTGCGACCCGGGCCTTACATAGGAGTACGGGCCGGGGGAGGGAGGGGGTGCAGCCCTCCCAGTTTCAGGAATTTTTGAAATTTTTCGGGCAAAGTGCTGATAATTCAGGCAAAAGTACACGGGAGGAAACATTCTAAAAGGTAGTCCAGGCCACTATTGTAGTTCCCTGACGTTTGCATTCTGTTTTGGAAAAAGCCATGTATCGTTTAAATGTGTATCGTGGAAATCCATGATATGGATGTTATTTCCATCAACAAAACAGTGGCAAAAGAATCAAAGCAAACGAAGACCAAGACTTTTTATGGTGGCCTCCCTGAAGAGCCGTTTTAAAATTTTCTTGAACTTTTCGTACGAAGAATTTCTGATTTTACGAGGGTGTCGATTGAGGTCATAGGGTATATGAGGTTTCGAAATAACTAGTTTTAGAATTATAACAGTTCATTAGACGTGAGAATTGTGAACGTTTGGTTTTACTGCAATTTGAGTGCGTTTGAACATTAATTTCGCGTGTTGTGTAATTTTTTCCCGGCAATAAGGTCATCGCCCCCACCCCGCCCCGGCAAGTCCGAAGGTGCCCGTACGCCTATAATCACTTTTCGTTGTCCACGCAACCGTGAGGTTCCGGAAACCTCGGGAAAAATGGAAAACCCTAATGGTAATCGACCAACCTTTCAGGCCGATCAACCGGGCTTATCTGGCTTCCGAGATCTCACGTCTCAACTCTTTTGAACACGAAGGAGGTCAAGATCAAACACAAATGACACTCTTGTAGACAAGCAATTTATAAATACGTATGTTTTAAACCAAAAATATTTACCTAGGGTTGACATTACAAAAAGCTATAAGAAAGTAAAATGCTTAGCATTTTCAGCGTGAGTTTATACTTTCAGTGACGATATAAGGTACGATTTACACCTCAGTTTTCTCGATAGCCTCCAAAGCCAGGTCACATGTGTGCCCTTCCTATAGTTCAGTTTCAGCTTATTTGAGTCTACATTTCCGCTATCGCTATTTAATGACCGGCACAGATCGATCTGGGCCAGTTAATTTCCGTACAACAAATTAAACAACTATCAAATCAGCCAAAAAGACTTCGCTTTTTCACAAAAATTTACACATCAATTTGAAAAACTTACTTTGCTTTCACATTAAACTATCAGCCAGCTTTGCCTGATAAACATATCCCAAAAAGTGTTCCAAACTAGCTAGCGTCGGCCGCGTATTAAAAAGGGAAAGGGGCGAGGGAGGCGAAAAACAATCCCCGGCTCATCCTCTCCCCGCGTTGGGCTTGATTACCAGCCGCCAGGGACCGCACGTGCACCCGAAAGAGCGGCTGAAATCGATCCTACCTCTCCATCTCCCCAGTTTTAAGCCTAATACTAATGATCACTAACTTGCTGAGCAAACCTACTGTATTTTTCAGCCAATCAGAAAGAAAACTAAAACCAACGGTGACGTGCCTTACGTGCGTTTTTCCCCGCTTGATTTTCCCGCGCTTGACATGAGTTGCACGTTTTCCCGCGCTTGGCACGGGTTACACTTTTTCCCGCGCTTGACAAGGGTCAAACTTTTCCCGCGCTTGGCACGGGTTACACTTTTTCCCGCGCTTGACAAGGGTCATTCTTTTCCCGCGCTTGGCACGGATTACACTTTTTCCCGCGCTTAACAAGGGTTACCCTTTTTACCGCGTTTGGCACGGGTTGCACGTTTGGCACAGCTTGCACGTTTTCTCGCGCTTGGCACGGGTTGCAGATGATATCATGCTCTTTTAAAGGCCTTTACACGGGCAACAGTTATTTACCGCTTAGTGGTATGCAATATTCTGATGTTTACGGACCAGGTAGTCAGAAAGGATTGATCGACTGTTTGTACTCTTACTCTTGGAGAAGAAAACTAAACAAAGAGACAAATGAGAAACCGATATCTCGTTTGGATCAGAAATCAGATCACTCAGAATGCAAGAAATAATTCGCTGCCAGCAACAACTACATGCTGGATAGTTCCATTCGCTATCCATTCCCCCAGTTGGCAGCCCTACTTAAAAGTGAAAAGATCGTAACGCTAAGGGCGAGTCACCATCAAGCTTTTGCTTGATTTTCGAGCTCCCTTCCGGCATTGTTACGTTTCGTCTTCCTCTTCAGCTTGAACATCGAAAGAAGACTCTTTGTTTCTGTATCGTTAAAGCTCTCGTCCGAATTCACGCTTCCAGAACTGACGATGGATCGCATGTACTCCAGAATCCTTCGCTGCCATATGCTCGTCTCTTCTTTACTGGTGACGTCAATGAAGGTTCTGTGACGCAGGCTCTTGGGTATGTCACTGGATTTGATGTTGTCAATTCTTACCACGATCAACGAAGAATCGTCTCTCTCCGAACATCGGTGTATCGCCATCCGCATCTCGTCCTTGCAGAAGGCGCTTGAAAGGTAGTTGATGGACATCACCAAGATCACCTTCCTACTGTTGTATACGCTGTCAGCCATGTTATCAAGCCACGCTTTCCCCGGCACGAAATCACGTGAATGAATTATGTAATTGATGCCGTTCTCATCAAACACAGGCAGAAGCGATTGTTGGACCCAATCGTAATCTTTGGTACTGTACGAGATGAACAAGTCTTTTTCGAAGACGTGTTCTTCTTGGTCGTCTGTTCAAGAAAATAAGACGTTACGCTTCTTTACTGAATGAATAATTTAGACACTGAAAAAGCGATAAATCTTTTAGCCCGTAACATCGAGTGATGATGTACTTGGGAAGTTTGGAGAGCACGGTAAAAGCGTATTAGTTCACGAGGCGAATCCGAGGGCAACTCTAGTTTCTCAAGTGCTCTCCAAACTTCTAACGTGCAACATAACTCGATGAGCTTAACGCATGATTTCCTTTTTTCATAACATTGCCTATTTCTGCCTGTTATTTCACGCCGCGGAACAGGTGGGAATCCAACTGCGTAGGGAGGCTACCGCAAAAGCCAAGAACACTTCGAAATGTCAGAGAGCTACTTTTAATGTCGAGTAAGAAATGCCAATGTTTTTATCTTTACACGATTGCTAATATCCTTCCTAAATATTTCTAATTTTGCACTCCTTCCCTTCATCGAAGACAGAGCTTGGATCAGTGCTCAAAACTTTAAATACTGTCTATCTCGCCTATACATGTCAATTCCTAGCTTTCCTTATAACAATATATCATTCTACCGTATTGTTTAGCTATGTTCGTTTTAGCTTTTTTCCCCTTTGCTTTTGGCTGTCCTGTTTGTGTGAGCGTGTATGTTACAAGCGTGTTTTGTAAGTTAACCCATCATCTTGAATTTTGCCTGGCTCCACTATCCCCTTGGACCATTCTAGGCAACCAGTGCTAACATTAATCAAAACTCAATGAATCATTTGAAACTCTTTCTATAGCAGGAGTACGAAAAAGGCTGTTTTTGGTGTTATCCTTGTGGGGTATTACGTCCCCCTCAAGCAATCCGTCAGGTTCGCCAGTGCCCCTTTATATACTTGAATGGAGAGAGGCACTGTGAGAATAAAGAGTGTAGCCTAGCCAGCCCTCTCAGCCCTGGGTCTGTGCACAAACAATTACGTTACTATGTCTCCTTTGCGCATATAGACTTTACGAGTCACTCACTCACATTTCTGAGCAATTGCTAGCAGCTTCTCCTCTCGTCTTTTCCGCAAACACACCACAATGATCATTGCTATCAACACCAAGAACAGGATTGATGCCACTACAGAAATGACGGCTATCATCCATGTTTTCAGCCTCTTCTCCTTGTCTATGGATTAAAACGTAATAAAATTGTTACTACCTTCTGCAGGACCCTTCTACATCACGCCTCCTTGGGGTAGAAGCCAAATTAACCTCAATCCCAAGCTCTCTCTCCTTTGCCTCTCTTGTAGTTGAGACAAGGGAGGCAAAGAAGAGAGAACCTGGATCGAGGTTGCCGAATTAATCACAGCCTACAGTGACGTATGTTTAGTCACGTGATAAAACTTTCATTCAAATTAGTCAGACTAGAAGGTTCCGGGATCCAGTCACAAGGCGAACCAAAAGCGTAGCGGGTGCCAAGCTTTGGCCAAGCGCGGGAAAAGTTGGCAGGAAGAGATCTGCTCTGACTGGTCGTTTGTCGGTCGTAATTCCTTCTGTTAAAACTTTATATAATCTTAAGTCTATGGTTTCCTACCTTCTGCTTTCACTTCAAGTGTTATGTAATCACGGTTTGTCGTTCTGCCAGACAAGGTCACAATAATGAGGCAGCCATAAGTGCCACTGTCTGCATACCTCACATTACGGACAGAGAGTTCTGTGCTTGCTCTACGTGACCCTTTGTCGTGACGATTTCTAACAAGGTAGTGGTCACTGGTGTTTTTAATCTCTGTCCCATTGAACACCCAAGATAGCGATGTGTGATTATTGTTAGTGACACCTTCACTAAAACAAACAAGCTTGGCATTTGTTCCAACTATGGCAGTGTACTTTGTTTTCTCCGCCCTCAATATATAATCCGGGTCTACAAATCAAATAAAAAAAAAGTAAGCCTTTTAACCCCAACTGGCTCACAGTACTTGGCGCTTCACTTCATTTCACCATCTAGCATGATCCCCCTGGATGGGAAACTAGCCCATCCCAGGGTTACACCCCCGCCCCCCGCATTCTGTCAGGCTCCCGGGGACGACGGTGCTCGTCGTACCTTTCAGGGCTACCTCTAAGGGTGTTCAGCCTCAAAAGGTCCACAGAGGGAGCTTTTACAGTACCTTGTAGGGTATTGAGCCGAAAAAAATATGACAGGAGATAATGTTTTGTTTTAGAATAAGTACCTCTTAGCGGTGAAAATAATTTCTACCCAAGTCCACAAAGTAGGATCTTGGTACCTCTTAGGGGTTCATTTCCAAATTTCCGATGAGCACCCCCGTCCTTTTTACATGAAAGTCCCCCTACCCCGGGGTTAGGCTGTTCCAACAAATCGCTGATATCAGTGCATATACCCGAGAAGAGAGGGGAACTGTGAGAGTCAAGTGTCCTGACCAAGAACACAATACATCAACCCTGGCCAGGGGCCTGTTTCTCCAAGGTCCCGAAATGTTTTCCCACCTGGAAAGCCGGAGCAAACTCTCAAACTTTACGATTACAGAGCTGTTCTTTTCACATATTCTTAGTATAAACAGCGGTTCCATTCCATACAAGAAGTTTCAGGGGTGTACACCTCCCTGTCTTTAAATACCGATTAACTAAAAATGGCTTTTTCGGGCCAAAAAACTTTCCGGGGCTTTCGAGAAACAGACCCAAGGGCTCGAACCCGAACCACTAGATCCAGCATCTAGTGTTAACCATTAGCCCACCTGATGCCTCCTAAATTAAATCAACGAAGCACTTGTGGTAAACTGGGTGAGTTGAATACAATTTCACGTCTACAATCTTATCTGTAACAACATTACGGACTGAGGGGGGTTTCAGGAGATATTAAGATCCATGAAAATGAAAGTACATTACAGGCATGACCTGTATGTTGTTCAATAGCGTTGCCAACTGCATACCAATTAGGTTTGAGAACTTTTTCAGTTTAGTTTTGATTATGCAGTGACATGACTGGGCAGTAGCTAGGGCACATCATGTTTTGCATGTCACACATAAGATTTTGGGGGACTTTTGGGTATTATACCATAAACGTCCGAGCTATTATAAAGCCCCTCCTTAGAAACACACGCCCCTCACTTATAGATGAATCTATACATATGTGTTAACAGGAAGACAATGTGATATGCCTGTTTTAAGCTTAAAAACATAGGAAATACACACTTATTTTAATTTTTTTCGATAACTGCAGAAATTCTCGCGTGCTTATTGGCTAATTTTCATCGTCAATATGCGGACAGGCAGAATTTATAATTTATGCGATGCGTCAACGAGCGAGAGCGGACAAGTTGACAATCTGCTATCGTAAAAAACAAATTGACTTCAGTTTTTCATACGTCTGTCCTGTTATTGACAATGAATCTCGTCATAACATTGTCAAAGTAGTCTGCGGATCCACTCGGCTATCGCCTCATGGATCCACAGCTACTTTGACAATGTTATGATGAAATTCATCATCAATAACAAGACAGACGCATGAAAAATTGACATCAATTTGTTAAATTTACAAAAGCATTAACATCTAGAGAGAAAAAAATATTCTCCTATTTCTCCTGTCCACCTCACCCCTCCCACACTGCACTCCTCCCTTACCCCTCCCTGATCCAGCCAGCCCTCAGCATATTGTGTGGCACACAAAATTACCAATTACGACTTGTATTGTGGCATTGCCCTCTCCAACAGCATTCCAAGCCATGCAAGTGTACCACCCTTCGTGTTTCCATTGAGTAACAGAAATGTCCAGTTCATAGGAACCAGCTGCAGGTTGTAATACGTTATAAAAATGCTTTTGATTTATGTCAAGTACATTTCGACCATTTCTGAGCCACGTGACATTTGGTTTTGGCCACCCTGTTACACTACATTTCAGTTGAGTTAATTCATCAAGTTTGGCAGCGACTGGACTGCTGTTTCCAACTGGAAATGCTTCTGGTTTTTCTGTTTCGTGGACAAAACGAAAATGACAATATATGTTAATATATGTTATAATACAACCCCTATTAAACAGCCACCCTCATGGAAATGAATAGTGGTGCTTAATAGAGGCAAAAACAATAGAAAAGCCATCAGGACTTTGATTCCTGGCTGTCTAATAAGGGTGGTCATTTAGTAGGCGGCTGCTTGATAGGGGTTCAGCTGTAAATACAATTTATAACCACATAAAACTTTTTTTTTTTGCTAACTTGACAACTCCTTAAGATGAGATGTCAAGTTTCATAGGTAAAGTCTGTATATGAGCCAAGTGGCCCATCAGGCTTGCGCTTATCTCCGGTTTCAGTAGCACGAAGCCACCAGGAGTATTTCTACTCCCCCCCGTGGATGGGATGCTAGTCCATCGTAGAGTTAGCCCCAGCATTAAATTTGCCGTTACCCATTTATACACCTGGGTGTAGAGAGGCACTGTGAGAGTAAAATGTAAAATGCCCAAGAGCACAACAAAATGTCTCCAGCCAGGACTTGACCCAGACCGCTCGATCTGCAGGCAAGCACACTAACCATGAGGATAAGGCGCCTCCCGTCAACAGTACTATTAACCCTATTCAGACCTGGCATTATTAATTTTGATATTCTTTGACCAGGTGGAGGGGGGAGTAGGAAAGAATCACCCCCTGCAATACCTTCTGAAAGAATATTCAAGAATGCATGTTAACAAAATTCTATTAATATGATATCTAAACAACTGCCATCTTGGAACCACCATGTTGGATTTCTTTATTAAATGAAAACATTAGAAAACCACCAAAAGGGACTCCAAAGTAATAAACACAAATCTGTTCCAAAAAATCTTGATACAGACTGGATTAGGATTGTATTACACTACGTGAACACAATGAAGCAAACATTCCTGATCTAAGAGATCTTATCAACTTGGGTCAGATGGCTTTTTGCCACCAGAGCGTTTTATAATCCTGTTGAGGAATAATATCTTGACTTAAGGTGAATATTTCTATTTCCATTATTTTATTAAAGCTGATTTTTATTCTTAATTGTTTGTCCAAAGCCTCCGTTATTAGAATTATTATTAGTAGTAGTAGTAGTAGTAGTAGTGGTAGTAGTCTTAGTCTTAGTCTTAGTATTACATGTAGTCTTAGTATTAGTATTATTTTTATTATAAAATTACTATTATTATTAAGACCTTCAGAGGTGATAGGGGGCTTATAAATATAAGTAAACATAGAAACTGTGCTGTTTGACACACTATTTTCTACAATGATGGGTTCAAAAATGGACATCAATTATCTGCTATACCTCAAAACAATTAAGATAATATTGTTGTTCATATGTTCTTATTAAGTTATCTTGCATACTATCTCAGGAATTTGGAGGTTTAAGGGGCAAACCAAATGGAGATAAGGGCTTCTCAAAATTTTGAATTAAATTGTTAATAGATAAAAGTTTTACTATAACAATATTTCACCTAAAATGCAGTCTGAAGTCTGTGTCATGACATGTTGAGGTCTCAGTTGAGAAATGTTACTCTTGCAGTGCCTTTCATCACCCAGAGCTCATAGCACAGCCGGGGTACCAGTGAATTATCAACTTATTAAAGGTAACCTCATTGAGTGCTCAGATATGCAATTAGTATTAACAGGGACCTTTAGACTGAACAAGGAGTATGAGATAGTTGAGTACAAGTATGATTTCAAAACTTCAAATTGTGTTTCCAGAGCAGCTTGCTCTAGCTTCATGTTGATTATTTTTTAGGTAGAGAGGGTAGCTCATGGGATGAGATGGGTATGTGACATGATACGCTATTCACTGCGCTCTAATTCAGGCACTATTCTATAACTTCCAGCAGGGAAAATGAAAAAACCTTTTGGTGATAGATCTTTTAGTGTAGCTGCACCTACACTGTGGAATGCGTTCCCAGCAAGCCTGCACAATATTGATTCTATTTCAACTTTTAAAATCTTGTCTTAAAACATATCTTCTTAAGTTAGCTTTTGGCCTTTAGCACTTCAATTACTTTGTTATTGTTAAATTCAGTTTACATATATGTACATATTTAGTAATTTTAATATTGTACTAATACGCTTTTGATCATTGAATGTTAAAAAGTGCAATATAAATTTATTATACTTATTATATTATTATTATTATTATTATTATTATTATTATTATTATTATTAGTATTATTACTACAGTTTTGGTCCCAGTGGACAGTCCATACATTCACTCTTATTTTGATTTCTCTATATGTACAATGGCCACCTCTCCAGAATGGCAACTAGTTAGGCCACTAAAACACATCCCAACTGCCAAATAACCTCTGGCCAATGGCCAGTTAACCATTGACTGACAAACAGTGTATGCAAAACCCCATATTGTAAAAGGTTGCCAAACTTTATCTATACCACGCTTCGTTGGTCTGTTTCTCAATTCTGTTTAGCTTCTGTTTTAGTGACATATTTTGATTGTGTTACAAACAGTAATATAGACTAAAATAAGCATTTTTTGAGAAAAGAAATGTTGCACACCCAAAAAACAGATGTTTTGTTACACCCCTACCTCCCCATGTGGAGGCACGGTGGCCTCACAGTTAGTGCACTCATCTCCAGATTGAGCAGTCCGGGTTGGAGCTCTGGCTGGGGACATTGTGTTGTGTTCTTGGGCAAGACACGTTACTCTCACAGTACCTTTCTCCACCCAGGTGTATAAATGGGTACCGGCGAATTTAATGCTGGGGGTAACCCTGCGATGGACTAGCATCCCATCCAGGGGGGGAGTAGAAATACTCCTAGTCTCTTCATGCTAAGGAAACTGGGATAAGGTCCGGCCTGGTGGGCCACTTGGCTCGTATGCAGACTTTACCTTTACCTTTACCTTTACCCTACCTCCCCATAAAGGCCACTTTTCTCTGTCCCCAAGGTGGCTGTAGTGGGGAGGTTTGACTGTAGTATTAGATGAGTATAAGATTTTTTTAAAAAGTCCCCTAATCAGTAATATTATTGAAGAGCATCCCATCCGGGAGAGCAAAATACTCCAGCTGCTTCTTTTTATGGTGACTGGAGTAATGTTTACGGAAGATTGAAATACTAACTTTACCTGCAAGGCGCACTTCTACAGTATCTGACCCCACCGCAGAGATGCACTCGTAAACACCTTCATCTCCTAGCTGAAGACCTTTCTTGAGCTCAAAACTTGACCAGTAAGGAGTGTCCATCTTACCAGGTGGCTCATAACTACTGCTGTTTCTCAACCATAGCAAATCAGTCCTATTGACTCTGCCAGCTGGTGTGACTGTGCAATTAAATAACAGAGACTCGTTCCTGTACCTGATGATCTGGTTTTTTACAGGACTGACTATTTCGACAGCTGGCTTAACCTTCCCTAACCCTGCAAACAGAAATAGAACTAAAAGGTGACCATGCTCAAAGGAAAATGAAGATTTTGATCTGCAGGCATGAGTTGGCTTCAGATTGATTGGTTTCAGTACCCACCCAAGTTAACTAACACCTGCCACTGCACATGAATTCTTTTAATGTATTTATTCTGAAATACAGCAAATCAATTAATGACAGGTCCCTCAGGAATCTACTAGTTCATTTTGTTCCCCTTGAATCTAGTGTTTCTTTCGACAGCTCTGCCTTGAGAAACACATTTGAGATTACCAATCAAGAAACAAAATTAACCGTTTCTCTCAAGACAAGACATTATTAAAAGTGTTTATTATTAAAGGGAATCCTTACTAAAAGAAAAACAGTTTTGTTCCAAATCACAAGTTGGTGTTTGTGTGAAATAATTTGCCAGTTTGAAGTCAATAATAAATACTCTTTGCATGTTTTGAATGCTAGGCATTTCACTTTACAGCATTTGTATAATTAGTATAATCGGTGAATGGGATTGTAGTAATAATAATAATAATAATAATAATAATAATAATAATGGCATTTCGGGCAGTATATCCACAGGGTCGCTCTTCGCCTGCCCAATGCTAACTAAATTGTTTACAGAATCTACATGAACTTCAGCTGTTGCATGAGTTTACAAGCACATTTTGTTCTACCCAACAAAATTAAGGTAACAAGTTCTTTGCAAATTAGGTAAGGGCTTAATTACAGAGGCTTACATTTTTGAAAAATTTGGCAGTTAAATGTTACTTGACATTGCTAAATGGCGTGTTTAAAACACGAAATGGTTAAATGATGAAATGGCGAAATGGTACGAAAGATAAGAGCCAAAGTTATATAAGATATAACCACTCCAATAAAAGTTGCAGTTGTTGCCCAATTTATTCTGTTTGGGGACAGAGCATTTGATTTTTGAGTTCAGAGGGTGTGGACACTTTCTTCTGAGGAGGAAATTTTTTTCTGCATTGGTACTTGTAATTGTTTTGGTTACTACTTTACCACTTTTCCCATGCTTATTTGCATAAGATTTCCTTCTCCTAATTTTAATAATAACGTCATAGCCGCTGCTTGATGGTAAACACGAGATAAACAAATCGTTTTCTTCCGAAGTCAAAATTAATGCCACCATTTCGATCACGAATATCCTAGGCATCTCAAACCGTGCCCTGTTAACAGAGAGAGACTGGCATCCAAATTACCCAAAGGTCCGTGGCGGAGAATTTGTGGTGCTTACCATTTAGCAAAAAAATCCGGAAATTTCGGTTCAAAGTCAAATGGAGCAGTAGTTTTCCTGAAAATCAGTTTGGAAATTGTAGACTACCTCCAGAGGTAATCCTCTTTTGCTGTTTCGAACAGAACAACAGAAACTCCTTACCATTTGGTAAATTTTCCAGTTCCCAGTCTTTCATCAGCCGAAAAAAAATTATGAGAAATTGAATTGCAAATGGTGGGCGCACTCCATTCAACTAAAATTTCCAGAAATTTTGGTCTGAAACTGAATGGANAATCTTGTGAAAAATCGAGACTGCGAGACGCACAGAGCCGCTAATGAACGAGACTGCGAGACCCGTGAAATTCGACTAAAATTTTGATGTTGTTGAAGGACCATTCACCACCCCTAATTAAGCTTAAACTAAAATGCAAACTGGTCAAGTTCTACGTTTGCATTTGCTTTTAGCATTGAAAAGCTTTTCAACAGTGAAGTTCGCTCGAGTAAGATGTTTTAAACAATCATGAAAGGAAAAACAAAACAAACTTACGAGTTCCTGTTTATGTAGAATTGAAATTAGCTCATACGAAAACATTGCAGTTTGAACTTGTTTCACTTCGCACCGCTTCATAAGGGCTTTTTCAGGACTAGAAAATACAGACTTTAAATTCTTACCTATCCAGAAGACTATTAGCGCAAAAGCTGTTCTGGTGAACCACCGATTACGACGATGAGATGGTACCATATTCCATAACATTCAACATGCATGAACAACCGAATATCGAATACACTTCTGATCCGAACGCACGGTTTGTTCTGGTTTGTTCTGGCGTGCACAACCTTTCTCGGAATGTCACCCGAACGGGGGTAGGGTAAGTAGAAACACTTGTTACCCAAGCGTTTTTGTCCAATTTCTGGCTATCTTTTAACGTTCTGATTTCTTTGAGATCTTTTACGTGAAATTGCGAATACTAAGTGATATCTTAAGTGATAAGATATCTTCAGGTTACTTTAAACCTTCGCGGGGCTATATTGGTCGATTTTTTTTTGGTCAAGAAAATTAATGTCCGCGAAGCACAAGTTTGCATACTGTCAACGCTAGGGGTTCTGTTATTTCATTGGCTCGCGGCTTTCAAGTTGACACATTCCTCTGTGAAGGCGTGATATGTTTATAAATCTTTAGAAGGCGAAA